CAACTGACCACACAACTTCCTAGATGTCCCCACCTTATCTTCTGCAACCCCTTCAGCCCATACCCATGGGGAAAAAGTCTTTCTGCAGTATCCCCCCAGCTCCTCACCCCCAACAGGTACAATGTCATGTACCTGAGTTGCTTGCGGGGCAATTCAGCCTCACCTCCTTTCAACATCTTCCTTCTCCTGGGTCAGTGCTGTTGCGTTGTCACGTACCAGTCTCACACACTTACAAATGCAGCAGCTTTCTCCCACAGTGCAGGAAGATTCACTTCCCATTGATGTCGCCTTAACACGTCTAAGATGGAGCCTCCTTGATTTTTACAGCCATCTTATCTGACAACTGCTGTCTTGGCCAACAACAGATCAAAGCCAGGACCTCCAGAGCTAAAAGCTGTGAGCTCTGTTGTGGAGGCTAATCCTCTGTGGATAAAAGCATGGGACGGACCATTCAGCAGAGAGGAGTCAGATCCATCTCTAAGTCACTGTGATCTGGATCTCAGCAAGACAAGCCTGCAGCCAGCCACCAGCTCCTACATCACATGCCATGGAGCACACACATTCCACACACCTTTCTTCTTTGCACCAGCTCCTGAATTCAGTGCTGCTTCATCAGCCTGAACATGGACAGGCTGAGAAAGTTGGGGCTGTTCAGCTGGAGAAGAGAAGCTGCTGGAGACCTCAGAGCAGCTTCCAGTGTCTGAAGGGGGCTACAAGGGTGCTGGAGAGGGACCTTCATCAGGGACTGGAGTGACGGGACAAGGGGTGATGGGCTCAAACTGAAACAGGGGAAGTTCAGGTTAGATACAAGGAAGAAATTGTTCCCTGTGAGGGTGCTGAGGCGCTGGCACAGGGTGCCCAGAGAAGCTGTGGCTGCCCCATCCCTGGCAGTGTTCAAGGCCAGGTTGGACACAGGGGCTTGGAGCAGCCTGCTCCAGTGGAAGGTGTCCCTGCCTGTGGCAGGGGGTTAGAACGGGATGATCTTAAGGTCCTTTCCAACACAAACCATGCTGTGATCCTATGATTATGACCTGCACAAGCTCCTCTCCCAACCCACCACACGTTTTCCACCCTCTCCACCAGCCCCACACGCGTGGTGCAGCCCCTGCTGCCATCTGCTGCCAGCCTCCACGGATGCTCTGCAGCTCATGGAGCACGAGAGCCCCCCGCACGCATGAGCCCAGCATGAATGACTGTGTTCTGCAACTTACCACTGGAGCAAGGGCAACGAAAAGGGAAGCGAGCCAGGGTAATGCGTCATCAAAGGGGCTTTATTCCTTTATTTTGTCAACTGCAATTTAGATTTAATTATTTATGGTAATACTTCAGAGTGTGCTAGTAAGCGTTCTGTAATGTCACTTACAAAAGGAAGGAAACCTAAGTAATAACTAATGTTTGCTACTGCATCTGCTATTAAATCTTTGCTGGGGTGGAGAGAGCCACACAGCAGCCTCCTGCGTATGCAAAGTACCAATTAGCAAAGCACTATTGTAAAATGTAAAGGTTTAATCAATGGGAAAATTCCACTTGAAAACAGTGAGCATGCTGATTTCAGTTATCAAACCCACCACATTTCTATACAGTAAGGAGCTTTTTATCTGCGACTGAGGAGCACTTAAGAGTGGGCACGTTGCTCCTCCGGGTAGCAGAGGAGGGCAGGAGTACTTGACCACTGCCCTAAGGCCCAGTCAAACCCACTCTGTCACAGTGCTGGCAGGAAACATCCCATCCAGCTCCAGCCACTGAGATGAGGCTGATTTTGCCTATGCACAAAATGAGATGTTTCAAGGTGCTCACTGCAGAGGTTTCATGGCTCGGGTTGGGTTTGACTGGGAAAAACAAGGCTTGGTTCTGTGCGCAGGTACACCAGCCATTTGGGAAACTATTCCCTTCCCAGCCCCATACCCACACCTCATCTGTCCATGCTGTTGGGTTTTCTACCAGTTCTAACGGGCACAAGTCCTGCCTCTGGCTGTGCAGCACGTCTGGGCACAGCTCCTGGGGAAAGGTCTCCCCTAACTCACTGCAGCAATGCTGATTAATGCTGCTCCGACATCCAGCCGAATCCTTAACAAAATAATACATTCCAGTAAATGAGAGGCCATTGAAAATAATCATGGAGTGGGCAATTTCCAGGTCTGTGGCTGCCCTTGACCACGCAGAAGAAACAAAGAATGTGTCCATATACAACTGAAGAAAAAGAGAACAAACAGGTCTGCTTTATACCTTCCAATGATTATCCTCGTCAGCTTCCCAAGGAAGAACAGCAGGCAGAAAATGCTGTGGTGCTTTGGGTTTTTAATTTAAATGGCAGTTTCCTTTAAATAGAACGTTCCTGCCATGGAAAGATTTAAATCACTGACTGAGATCAATTAGCCTAGGAAACAAGGGAAGTATTTTAATGGCCCTTTGATTGCAGAGGCCACAGCTCCTCCAGTGCTGCACTGGAAGAGGAGGCAAGTTCCAGCTTTCAGCCCCATGTTTTGCTGCAAGGGGAGCCGTTCCCCTGCGAAGCTGGGAAGGTGCTGCCCTCCAAGAGCTTCCCAGGAGAGGCCCAGGGCTTTCCTACCTGTGATGCTGGGCTTGCACACACCCTGGGGGCTGCAAGGCCTTGGCAGCCCCTCTGGTGAATTAGGGCAGGAAATCGGGTCAGCGCCATGGCAAGCGCCAGCCAAATGGAAGGCAGCCAAGGGATTACAGGAGAGGCAGTGTGACAGAGCCCAGGGCCATCTGATGGGAGAGGACACTGTCAGAACAGAGTGACAGCTCCTCACACAGCCTCTGCAGTTGTGACAGACAAAGCTGTTTGCTGTTTGCATGCCTCAGTGGGGAGCATTGCAGCCCAGCTCGGATGCTCCTGACTGTGCCAGGCCTCTCCAGGCGGAATTCAGCTGCCCCTCCACAATCAGGAGCTACCAACTCGGCACGAGCAGCAGGCAGATAGCAACAGCCACGGAGCAATTCCAACAACTGGCAGCCCCAAGGGCAGACAGGTCAGGGAGGTGCTGATGTGCGCTACAGGTCAGGAGCAGAGACAACGTCTGGCCCAACTTCAGCTGCACCTCAAGCAGGTAAAAGCAGCCCCACCTCAGACACCGCGTCCTGCAACCTGCAACGTTCCCTGTGTACATCTGTGAGCAGCAGGAGTTAGAAGAGCACAAAACCTCCCCGTCCAGGATCCAAGGACACTGCAGAACTACAGAAGAGAGAAACTTGGCTGCCAGCAGCAAGGTGTCTGCTGAGCAGTGACAGATTTCAGCAGGGCTTGGGCCACACAACGGGTGTCTTCTGTGTGTGTGACCAGCATCAGCCCTTCCTGAGGGCAGGTTTCCACCAGAAGTGCTTCGTAGCAGTCAGACAGCATATGAGATCTCCCAGCTCTGCTGGAACCTCTGAGATCTCACCCCACGGAAGACAAGGACAGACAAGATGCTCATTCCCTCCCAGCAAAACCAAACCCATGGGAAAACTGAAGCCACAGAGCCATGATTTTGAGCAGCCTGGATCCTGCAGAGTGCCCACTCCCAGCAGTGAGCACACAGGGCTTAGTGTACACTTAAAAGGACCCCAGTTTTCACAGGCATGCAGCCATTGCAGCACATGACTCAGGGTCCTACTTACACAGAGAGGCACTTGCACACACACACGCACTCCATCTGCGCCTGCAAAGCTGTGCTGCTTGCTCAGAAAACAAGAGGACAAAGTGGTTTAGCCAAGACTGTTACAGCAAACCAGGGGCAAGAATGGGCCCCTGGAGCCCTGACATGGGATTTTCCACCTGAAGTATCCCCTCTACTTCATGAAGAGCCAGGAATGGAGATTTCGGCTTTGCAGTCTCCTGCTTTTGGAGGAGCCAGTGCAGGTAGCAGCCTACCTACCACCAGTGCCCACCTTCACAAGCCAACAAGGCTACTCATTCCAACTGGGCGCAGGTGGAACACAGCAGCTAGCTTGACCATCTACCCTAGGTGCTCATAGCCTTAACCATCTATCCTGGGTGCTCACAAAGAACCTACAAGAGCACTGGCTGCAACATCCTGGATAAATACTTGGGCAAGAGGCTTGTGCCAGGCTCCTTGCTGCCAACCACCACTCTGTTCCTGCTACTCAAAGTAGCTCAAACTGAAGCTTGGGTATGTCTTCATGAACACCAGTGGCACCATTTGAGGTACAGCCTGACCCGCAGCTATGCACCAAAAAAGCAGCCCTAGAATGAACCATCCAAGAGCAAAAGGAAACATTCTCTTTCTGCACATGAACGTGTCTCCCTGCAAAGAGGGGATAAGTATGAACCAAACCAACCTCAGCAGCGAGGCAGGGGCAAACGTATCCCCACCAGTCACCTACTGCCCAGAGAGACAAAGCACTGGTAGCACTGGTCAGAACACACCTCCCAGCAAGAGCAGGATCTGCTCATGGTAATAAACCCTGATCCTGAAGCGATTACGTTAAACGCTGTCACGGGCTGTGCTGAGCAGAGCAGCCCTCTCACCAGCTCCAAGCAGCTTTGTGGGGAGGAAAAAAGTCCTAATCCATTCAGCTTGGAAAAGTCTATTCCCCACTGATCCCAAGTGATCAGCCTTCATGTTGGAGGAACATTACATTCGAGTCGCTGAGGATTTTCACTTGGGGTTCTTTTGCTTCCCCTTTTCATTTCTTAAAGCAAGAATTGAAAGGCAGCAAATCTGAAACTGTGTTAAACTGGACTTGGTTCACTCAGGGGAAGGAGAAACATAATATTCTTTCTTTGGACGCTGTTTGGAATCCATCCCCAGCAAGTAACATGACAACAGTCACTAGTGTCTGACATGCCCAAAGGGCAAGAGCAGGAGAGGACAACATAGGCGCGCTGGGTGGAGATGGGGCTGGGAGAAGGGGAAGGAAGGCTCCATCAGGAGCTGTCAGGTACTTCCCTTTTCTCCAGTTCTGCGGCAGTTTTAGGGGCAACCTGAGATTCAGAGCTGGCTGATTCAAAGCAGGGGAATAGCGGAGTAACTTACTTTCAGCTGCGCAGCCTATCAGCAGCACAGACAGGAGGTTCACGAGGGAGACCAGCGAAGACATCCCAGGGCTGGGAAGGATCCTCATCCTCTGCAGTGGCCTTCAGCCCCAGCCGGGACGGCTCCGGGTCAGCAGGACTCGCAGCGTGTCCCAAGCGCTGTCAGCACCTGCGGATGTACAAAGACACTCAGAGGGACGAAGAAGGAGGCTCCGACTGCCAGAGCCCGTCCTGTTTAGGGCTGAACACCCATCGGCCTCTCCCCCCCAAACACGGGAGGAAGGAGCAGTGAGGTGTGACGGGATCGGAGCCGACAGGGCCCAGGCATCCCCTGAAAGGGCAATTTTTCCACATAAGCACAGGGCAGGCAAAGAAAACCAGAAACCTGGCACATAAGAAACCCAGATGGGAAGGAAAACGTCCCCCCCCAGAAGAGGGAAGAAGCAGCAGGAGATGTCTCCCATGTCCCTGATGCTTGCTGAGGAGCCGTGCTGAGGGATTGCTCCCCTGCCTGGGCAGGTTCTGTGCTGTGCAGCTCTCGTCACCCCATCCACCCAGCCCTGGAATCAGCGTCGGTGCCCCAGAGCCCCTCCTGGAAGGCAAATGCACGCTGAGAAGTCTCCTGGGATTCCTCCCATAGCTGGGATCACAGCAGCTCTCCTGCATGTCCCAGAGCCCCTGCGCTGCCTGGTGCCTCAGTTTCCACACACACAGAGGAGCAGCATTACTGAGCTAACGCAAAACTGGCACAGATAAAACCTGGAGCAGGAGGTACCACGGTTGATCCTGATGGATCCTAAGGCACAGCAAGCAAACACAGCCTCCAAAGGACGCAGGAGAGGTTTCCTCCTGATGCTTCTGCCCCGGCCGTGGCAGAACACGGCTGCAGGACAGCTGCAGCATATCAGCATGGCAGTGACAAGCTCAGCACCAACCTGCTCCCCCTTGCCCTGCCAGCACATTCCCATGGAGACAACGCCTGGCTCCCAACGGAGCTGCCTGCTTGCAGCTTTATCCTGATCCCTTTGCAAAGCTGGAATGGCGTTAAGGGAGCTGTATTCTTAGCAGCTACCCCGGTCCTGTGTGTCAATACTGGCAAACGCTTCATCCTTCACTGACAGAGGTGAGCTTTGCCCCAGAAGGGCTTAAAATAGAGTGAAAACTGCGGCCACAACCTCCTCACAGGGTCAGCAGCTGAAGAGGTTCCTCCATCAGACAGACACTGAGCACCAGAACAATGGGCCGCAGTGGTGTGAAGGATGCTCTCAGATGTGTACAGGCTCCTTCCTGCTATCAGTTACCCCAATTAAAAATCAAACCCGGGGTTTATCACCTCTTGGAGAAGAGCCAGGTAGGAGATACTGTACAGGATCAAAGGCTTCCAAAGCACTAAGGGGATAGTGAGGTTGCTTAAGCTTTCTGATACACACCAGGGTAAGAGACCATCGGGACAGGCAGTGTGAAGGGGCATTTTAATCTTTTTCTGTCCTGTTAACTCTCCAAGGCTGGACTGGACAGAATGAAAAGCAGAGGCAGGATAAACACAAAGTCCTCATAGGTCCTCAGCCCTAAAGGGCAACTTTGCAGCAGCAGCTTTGGACTTGCACTTTGAGGCTTACAAAGCCTCTGCTGTGTGCTCTGTGTTAGTCCAGCTCCATCGTGCTTCAGCGCTGGCTTGTGCAAACCAAGCAGAAATAGTGATACTGTCACAAAAAAGAGAACAAATTGGGATTATACCACTAGGAATCTCTGCAAATGTTTGTTCTAGACACACTCAGAGAAACACAAAGGCTCCAGCCAGACTTAACACGGGGTTCACAGGGTTCCAGGGCACAGAACAACGCATTGGGGTTTCTTTTGTTGTTGTCAGAGGCGAGCAGAGACTGGGAACATTCTGAATAGCTGTGATGGGAACTGTTAATTAAACTGGGGACGTGGTGGCAATGCCAGCACAACAAATGGGACCGTGATGCTGTTTGCTGGCTCTCCCTTCTCCAGCCATGCAGTTCCTAGTTCCCACCAGCAAGGCTGGAGGGGGACAGGGCCGAAGTCAGAGAGAGCATCCTCCCAACCACATCAGTTCTCTCTGTTACCCCTTTCCAGGGCTGGCTCAGCAATATCCCCCCCACCACAGTCCCAGTAAATGCCACCAAACACCTCCTTGAGCCTCATCTGCTCTCCAAATGTGGCACCAGGGACCTTCCACGGCTCAGAGCACCCAAGAGGCTGCACTGCCCCATGCAGCATCTCCCCACGACCCCCCAGTGCTGGAGCTGAACACAGGCACGTCAGGGAGATGTTCCACCTGATCTAAAGAGGGCAACCTGGCAGCTCTGCTCTCCCACATCTAACACAGCTCCTCATGCTGTGTAACGGGCTCCGATAGAGAAGGTCTGGTAAAGGGGATACAGCAACAGCTCCAAGATTAGAGAAGGAGATGCCAGAGGGTGACACTTCCGCTCCGGTGCTAATGTGCTTCCCCAGCCCTTGATGGAGACAGAAAGTGCTGGCAGAGATATTAGGACACGTCAACTTCAATCCAGCAACTCATCCTTCAGAGCAGGTACGTCACTGCCTCTCTCCCCCTGGGTATAGGATTTTCAGGACACCAAGATGTGCACCCACCTGGATCCCCCATGGATAGCAAGGAGAGACTGGGACAGGAGTTTGCTCTGCTTTCCTGGCAGCACCCTGGCAATAGGGAGACTGGAAACAGACCCTTATCCCCAGCACGATTCCTGCCTACAATATAGAACATGCCATGTGTGGAAAGCCAGCCACCACCCAGCAGGGCTCTCCTGCCCTCCTGGAGTGCTGAATGCAAGTGGGAATGGCTTTGAGGAACGCTCAAATCACAAGGGCTCTATCCCAATCCTCTTCCCCTCTATATGCACAGCTTACCTTGTCTGTGCTCTTGGAAGCAGGTTTGCATCACTCCTGCCTGGCTGCTGAGCACCCAGCCAAGCCCCTGGCACCATCGAAGTCAACATAATGGCAGTTTTCCTGCACTGCTCCACGGACTTTCAAACCCTCTCTGAATTCTCTGGCACAAGACCTCCTGCAACATAAGCAAACCACCTAATAGACCTCAATCCTTGCTAAAGAATGCAATTAAGCGAAGCCATGCCCCCCAGTGGGGTCAGATTTGTGCTAGATACGGTCACATTTCAGGAATCAGATTAATTCTTACAGTAAAAGAGCTCCTGAAAGGCATTCATTCTGTGCACAGCCCTAACCTCCAGCTCTCACTGTACATGTGTGCATCTCGTAAGTGCTGAGCACAGGATCTGCAAGAGTATTATTAACAGTAATAAAACTGAGCAGCATTTGCAAGGAGCAGCTTCCCACTGCGGCTCCTGCAGCCAGGAGGGAGCGAGGGACCCAAGGGTGCGAGGCACAAAGGGGGAAATGCTCAGCAGCACCTACATTTCTTAAGAGCTTAAGATCCATTGAGAGTCAAAGGGACTTAACTTAAGCCACTAAGATGCTTTTGAAGATTTTCCTCCCAGCAATTCCCATTCCAGAGGGTGCTGGACACCCAACTCCCTAAGCCACTTTGAGGGGATACAGGAGGAGGGGGCCCGATCTACAGGCCAGTTTGGCTGGCTTGGTCCTCACTGCTTAAGGAGGAGCCTGTGGGAGATGCTGCAGTTACAGATGGGCATGGGTCAGCCCTCTGCAGGCATGTTGCCACGTGGTGTTTTTTCTTAGCCCTGATGGAGCCAGTGATGGAAACGTTTGTTCTGCATTTAAAAAAACATAAATCCAGGCGGGAGGGACCATCCCTTCATTTCAGATTCACTGGAATATAACAACTTGAAGAACGATTTCATCACGGAAGCATTTGGGCTTCTCCTCTGTTTCAGCTGCCTGTGAAAGGGAGAAGGGTGACTTTAAAGCAATTCCCTGCAAAAAAGTTCCACCCAGATCTAGCAGATGATTAAACATCTTCATTTTCAGCAGCTGCTGCAGGAGAATGACTCCCATTAGACATATCAATCGAAGCAAACACCTCGCAGGCAGAGGGCTGTGCTAAGGTCCCTTTTCCTCCCAGCAGCACCAGCTTAGTTTGTGCTGCGTATTAACAAAGGTCAGTGGGTCACTTCATTTCCTCCCGGCAACCTCTTTATAGAAAGAAAGAAAAGCTTTTAGCACAACCACGAGCTCATTTGTCACCTCCCCTGGGGAGGGCAGAGATGAAATTCCAATTTGCCACCCCACGTTCCTTGTTTGCTCCCATCTAACACCCTGCCCTGGGCAAACCCGGCGCCACCAGGGCTGGGACCGGGAGTCAGCGCTGGTGTCTTGTGCTGTGTGGATCTGCCCCAGGACCCTACGTGGGACCTTCCCCATGGGTGCTGGGGAGCAAGGAGCTGCCAATGTGCAGTGACATCCCATGTGGGCCATGTCCCACATTGAAGCTGCTTTGCTGGCAAGTATTAGCCTTTTTTCCTGGGGAAACAGAGCAAAACGTGAGTGACGTGGTTTAGCAGCAGCACCTTGGTAGTGCTGGGGTAATGGTTGGATTTGGTGATCTTAAAGGTCTTTTCCAACCGAGTTGCTTCTATGAAGACATGAGCTTCAAAGTACTTGTTTCTAATGCTCATTTCCCCCTCCCCAGCCACTCTTGTCCTGTTTAATGGGGGGAAGAGCCCACAGCCATGTCAGTTCCCCATCAGGCACCTGAAAGCCAGCACTGAGGCAGAGGGAGATGCTGGTGATGCCTCTGCTCGAAAAGCACCCACGAGCCCCTAGATGTTGGTCAGTCAGGAGAGCCCCATCTGCATGGAACAGCATCACTGTGCTGCTCCCAGGGTTAGCTATGGGGAGAGTAAAACCAAACCAGACCTGCCAGCCACAAAAGCCAAATGTTCCAGCTAAAGCCAGTGCTGGAACTGCTCCAGATCCTTCCCCCCAGACAGAGACTCCCAATGCTCTGCAGACCCCCTTGATCCATGCTTCTCACGCCAGCAAAGCCCCCAGAATGACTCTGCCTTCTGGCCACTTCATCTCAGCAGAGACCCCCTGGCTATGTGGGAGCCTGCTGCTGCTCAGAGGACCCCCACGGCTCATGGGGCTGCCATGCACCCATAGAACCAACCTTCCCCACAGCTTCAATACACCTTGAGAACACAAATACACCCCTGCCCAGCAGCAAAGCTCACCTCAAGA